TCGAACTTACACGATAATTCCGATAATTCCAACATTTCTCTATGCAAAGAAAGAAGAGGGAGAAGAAAATGAAGAAAAGAAAAGAAAAAAAGGAAAAGACAAAAAGAAGAAAAATATAAAACGATATACTTTGTCGATGTGCTCCTTTGTCTCGAATAGTTTCAATCTTCCTTTCGTTCGAATCGTTACGATTTATACGAGAGAGATACTTAAATGCAGTAGACGTAGAGCAGCGAAACTAATTTTAAAAGTTGAAACTGAAATTGAAATTGTCAACATCGTCTCGGGAACGAATCTTATTCAGAGATCGAGGATCGAGTCTTGAACGCTGCCATCTTGTGGCAATATTTTCGCCAAGATTCCCGACGAGAAACAATTCGAATTACCATGTAATCAAATGGCACAACTTCGATCATCGCAGTCTCGTTAACAAGTTCATTATCAACGTCACATATGAGTCTATAATACCCTTTTATTTTTGAATGAGGAAGAGAGAGAGAGAGAGAGAGAGAGAGAGAGAGAGAGAGATCATTTGGCTTAGTATACTGTTAAAAATGTTTCTCCATATAATATGGATAATTTTGTTCTCATAGCCCAATGATGTAGTTATCATATATAGGTACTGTGTGTGCCTCATAAGAAGTTTCGCAAGAAGAATACGTCGAATAAATGCTCCATCTATTCGTCATTTGATATGTGTGACCACTTTGGCCAATAGCTTGGCTGAATCCAAAGATGTGTATTAAATGAGGTGCTCCTCTATCGTTCTGACTAATTAGACCTGCGTTTCTTCGATGAGGCTTCTTGTGAGACACGCACAGTACTACTGTTCGTGGCTACAAATTAACTAAACTTTAAAACCAAATCTAACCAACTTCGAAGAGTGGTGAATCTTCCAGGGAATGCCAAATGTCTTTCTCACGAAGCAGTATATCTACTAGGACATGCATCATTTCACGTAGTCAGTTTTAAGATCTGGTGTGGTAGCAGCTAGCCAATTTTCAAGACAAAAGCTCGGCCAATTGTCAAGACACCACTGTCCAACCTGGAAAAAGTAAGAGATCGAAATTTATATACGAAAAATGAAATTTACAACAAAGAGTTTCTCCTCATCTTCGACATGATAGTGAACGTGTTAACACAGAGCAACGGAAGCAACCTTACGTTTCCTACATCGAGTCAAGCTTTCACCAGGTAGACAATGCTTCGCCCTGTTACACCCGATCTTTCACGCAAAGCGACATCTACGAACGCATAGGAACAAACCAACAGAGGCTGTCACCTTTCCAACCTTTCCTTTCCTTAGACCCGAGGTTCCATTTACCGTAATAGCCATTTGTTAGGTTCACGCACGTGTGTTCGTGCCAGTTAACTTGTGTAATTATACGTAATAAGCCTAGTGCATAGAGAGAGAGTTAATTGCATTCGAGAAAATTCCCTTCGAGGTTCAACGTTTAGAGATGTTACCGATAACTCCTGTTCGCGGTGCGGCGATCTGTATGAACGACGTTCATTAATCATGACGAGAGAGAAGGAGAGAGGTGATAAATTAAAAAAGAAACGAAAAATGGAGAAAAAGAATACGGAAGAAAATACAGACCTTTAATAATCGTTGAAGCATCGAGCTTAAGAGCTGGTCTCGAACAGCTTCGTTCGACCAGTTGAGTAGAGGGCAAGGAGTGATCGAAACCGCAGACGGCAGTTACACGCTTGCGTCATCTCCTGTTCAGAATTGTTAGCATTATTATTATTGTTATTATTACGATTATTATTAATATCGTTATTACTGTCATTATTATTGTCACCGTAAGAGAAGATCATCGCCGTTGCGATTTACCCCCTCGGGAGCCGCCGCCTGTGGCGCCATCTCAAGGGCAAGGAACGATCTACGACTCTCGGTCCGCGACGTATCCACGGATCGGATCTCGCGATTCGAGGAACTCCGCTTCTCTAAACTTAGAGCAAATTTATTTCACGGATAGGACGATATCTGTGCACCACAGTCTAAACGTGTAGGTCCCTCGGTTTACGAGCGCGCGCGCAAGCCACGATAAACGAGGAGAAAATGAAAAAAAAAGAAAAAAGAACAAAAAAAAGAAATATTTAAGCGATAACTTAAGGGAACGACGGTTTCAGTTACGTTTTTACGTTGCTTTGACGAGTACACGTGTTATATGGATAAACTATCCGAATAACGATGAAATAATAGAAACATACTAGGTAAGGAAATGTTTGCAAATGAAATTGATAAGTGTTTTAATATTGTAACGAAGTGTGTATATGTACCAAGCAGAAAAAAAGAAGCAAAAAGAAAAAAAAGATGAAAAAGGCAAAAAAAAGGAAAAAAAACCGGGAAAAGTGACGAGAAAACGAGAAACAGAGAAACGTTACCAATGTCGATGCCTATTGCCCCCTCCTAACGCCCAAGCCACGCCCACCCTCCCCACCCGTTTTACTCACCGTAACGATATCACGATATTGGACAGTTGGCGATTCAGGCCCCATGATACCCGTGAACACCGTGTGGGCTGGTCTTCGTTTGTTGTACGTTTCAGTATAGCGTCCGGATAATTGTCGAGGGACGGTGATTCAGTGTCGATCAGCCTCTAGAACGTTTCGTCCACCCCGCTTAATTGTTGTTCGACGGTGGAAGTAGCAATAATAATTTTCATTTGCTTCCCCTATCTCGTTCGTCACCAACCCCCTCTCTTGGGTCCCAGTCGCTGCGACGCTTTTGGGAATAGAGGCCGATCGCGACAGTGAGTCACGCCCCCGCAAGGATTAAATATAACGAGTTGCGAATAAGTATACGTATTTTCTCAAATGAAAATGATAAAAGGATATATATCTATATAATAAAATACTTCCACTGTAAACGTGTTTTGATTTCTCTCATGTCTCCTGTTACTTATGACCATTATAATTTCTGTTATGGCTACTGCTTCTGTTCAATATTAGAAAATAGACGAAATGACTAGTATCATTTCATTTTTTGGTTATTTCATTTTTAGGTTATTAAACCTAATATCGGCCATAATGTGCTATATCGTCTCATATAGTATTATATCATGCCATATCGTGAAATATCGTGCCATATCGTGCTATGTATTGCTGTATTGTATATTTGAAACTTTTACACGCGTATATTTTTCCTTTTCTGAGTTTATAAAAATTGAAAAAAGTACGAAGAATTGTTTTTTAATTGTGTTCTATCATTTTAGTGAAATCAATTTCAAATTTTCGCGCGCTTGACGGTACTGGTTATGTCCGCACTCCAGTTACGATCCACTGACTGCCTTACCATCATAGACGTTGGTCGGTATTGGCTACTATCGATGTTTGTTACCGTCTACAGCCAGAAGATGGCAGGAGAATATGGCTTTTTCTGTATTTATTATGATTTTATACATACCTATATCTTGAGATAATTTAATCTTAACGAATTTTAATAACAATTTATTTCTTGTTGCATATAATTCATAAATATAGAAAGAAATTGCTATTATATTTTATTTAATATGTTTATTGTCAAGTATCATAGAATATAATAGAAATTCTTACCTGATTGATTCAATCACTTTCTACAAAATTTCTGCGAATTTTTCTTTATTTCTTCTGTCTCCAATCTTCTCACTCCTTGCAAGTGCCACTTAATTGCCTGTCATAAAGCTTCCTCGTCACAGCACAGTGTTCCCCGTGAGTTCTCCAGTAATATTCACATCGATGCACAGTGGGGTAGGAGACCCTAAGAACTGATTTCTCATATTTTTATAAATTGAAAATATCATGGTGTACCAGATACTTTGAAGAACCTATTTTGCAACTTTTATGCAATTTAATGAATTATTATTCTATTAGCAGAGTGAAGAACCTCGCAAAAGACAGAAAACGAGTAGCATCATCTTTGTATATAAAGTGTCTCATAAATCAAGACATTTGACGTAATAAAGTTTGCCCTTTTTGTTTCTCATACTTATTGGCATTTAGTATACAAGAAACATTGTACTTTTATCGAAAGTGTGACTCTGAACTACGAATTTTAATGTTTAGTGAGGAAATATCTGAAGTTTTTATGATTTATCTTACTTCTGATTAATTATAACATGCTATAACACTTCGTACAAAAATAAATCAGGTACCTGGAGATTCTGAAGAAGGTATGAGACGTATTACTTCAATGCTGGTATGCCGATTTTGCACCTTTCACAATTTAACTAAGTATAGCTTGATCCAACGAGAAGGGAACTTTTATGACAAACTAGGTCATAGTGTGCACCTTGCCATTCGTAGTAATATACATTTTTATATATATGCTTATTTTTGTTAACGACGGTACTATGCTAATATTAATTTCACGGTGAGTTTTATTGCATTAATTTCCATTTTTTAGTAATGACAGCTAAGAAAAGTACTTAAATACTGTAGAAATGGTACTCGGGCAACGTATAGAGAATTATAGGGAAATATAGAGAATTATTGCGTATAAAGAATTTATTAAACAATAATATACGTTATCGCGATTTAGTAATCACACATCCGAGAAAAATATAATTAAACGTAAAGTGTTACATGTTCTCTAGAAACACTCCAGTCAAGGATTCTTCGAATTCAAACCAAATCACCAGTGTTCATGCACCTTCTGTTCTAGCTCTGTTACTGAACAACCAAACACCCTGATAAAATTATTGCCACTAATGACAGAGCAATCGGTACATGACAGACTGTTGGTCATACCTTTGTAGGGTCGATTATACATCCTTTCAGGCATCTATATTTAATCAATGCGATTTTCCATACTTATTCCTACCGTTGTATACCACTTCGATTTTATTCTAGAAGGTTCATCCTGAGTCAATTATACGTCGTAGAATTGTCAAGTGTCCATGTTGATCAAAGCTATGTCACTTCAAATCACGCTTTCTTCGAGTACTTGCTGTCAGTGAACCTGTTGGTTGTCGCATGATTTAAGAATTGAGATCTAGAGACAAAAAAGTATTATCATGCATGCAACGGAATACACAGATATGTCAATTAACGTGTCGCGGGTCCTTTTGAAACTCACGGGTAACTGGGTGACCATGAATGACACTGAGAAGCGTCACAGGGTATTAGCTATGTCGTACACCATCGTCGCGTTAGTTTATGGTGTATACGTGAATGTTGTGGATGTTTATCACAGCTTAGATGACCTGGATGTGAGTATGGAAATCCATGGCTTTGCTCCATTACTTTTTCCTCTTTCCCATGTGAATGTCAGCAAGTTAAATTGTACATGAAGTGATTAGATAGCAATGGTGACTTGGAATGCATCTGGATAAAGATTGCTATAGTTAAATTTTCTAAATTTTATTTTATAGTTAGTTATATGCAATTTGGAATTCCTTTAGTTTTAATAGTTTATCTTTTCATTTATACTATGTTATATGATACAGTTATGTAGTATAAAGTGTATGTGTATGTTTGTAATAATTGCTATGTTATAATGTATATGTAGATGCAGATGCAGATTTATACTTTTCTTGGCCATTTTTGTGTTACAGCTGGATAGATTGTAGAAGGTTTCTGTAATTTAGGAAGCATTTTAAATCATTTTGTATTTTTGATGTGATTCAATTATTATGTGTTTTCATTATGGCACTTTTAATACTTACAAATAGTCGTGGTCCAATATTGAGTATGCTATTGAATATTGCTCTGTAAAAATAAAAGTTTGCAGTTGTATTTCACGTGAAATTTAATAATGTATGAAACGATATACACGTATAAAATGAAACAAAATTAATGGTTACAAATTTTCAATTAAATATTGAAAATGATCTTTTTCAGCATTGTATCTTTCTCATTTGTAACACGTTAAACATTATACTGGCAATGTACAAGATGCTCGTGGTAAATGTTTACAGAATGGAATATGTGAATTTAATTTTGGATGCACGACAGCATTTCTGGCATTTGAATTATAATGCAGACGAAAGTGAACTCTTTATTGAGTGTCAAAAGGTTTGCAAACTGTGGACGATACTTATATGTTCTCTCACGCAAGCATCCTTGTGTTTCTATATAATAAGACCAATCAGTGGTGAGTAAACACAATTTGATGAAAAAGTAAGCGTATTTAATAAATAATAACCAATAACAAAGAATAAATATATTTTAACGAAACAATTTCAATGACAAACAAATAAATATCTACGATATTTCGAGTTTCGTGATAAATCCCAAGTAAATATTGCATAGAAAAATAATTTCTATCTTAAATCCTAAATTTCTTTTATTTTTCACAAATTACGAAAAATGCCATAATTTTAGCATTTCAGAAGAATAAAACTGCAAAAGGCTGACGTAGGCAAAATTTTCTGAGATGGAAATAGTAGAAATATAAATCAAAGATTAACCCTAAATCAAACATTTTCTGCTTTGTATATTTATCAACATTCGACATGTTAATAAAAAGGAAAACTTCTGATGCAATACACTAAATTCATTGAATTCGAACAAAAGTTTCAAAGCTTCTCTGAATTAACAATAAAAATACATTTCTCCATCGAGATAATTATTAATCAAATAAAATCAAGAGTTCGTTAATTTTGCTAACAAGTTGACCTATTATTTTAAAAAACAAAAATATAAATTAACGAATAGATAGCCTAGATATATGGCCTGAGAAAAAAAAGGAAATATATGCAAATGATATAAAAATCACGGTTCACTGTCTTTCAGTGAACATCGGAAGCAACAAGTCTGAAAAGGTACTTCCTTTCAAAATGTGGGTCGATCTGCCTCTAACCGTGTCTCCGTATTACGAAATAATGTTCGCCGTCCAGGTATCGCGAATCTCTATTTTAATTAACTAACTTGCGACTTAATCTCCGCACAAAACACGACAAAACACCACACAACAATTTTCCACCGATCAACCCATGAAAACTGACTAATTCACATAGCTCTTGGCTGTGCAACAAATCGGTATCAGTTACATATGCAACGAGAACTTCTTCTGCTTGCTGAACCTACACATGGTCTACCAGTTTCGCATGCTACAGTACAAACTGAGGAAATTCTGGTTGAAAATCAACGAGCAGACGGATATTATCGCTTACACGAGCAGGTGTCATACAGAGTTGAAGAAGTGCATCGAACAACATCAGTCGTTGATCAGGTTCTCTGACAGGATCGAGACCATCTACACGCTACCGATCCTCGGCCATGTTGTAGTCTTCAGCATGCTTATGTGCTTCGACAGCTACGAAATAATTTTGGTACGTGTTAACGTGGTGCATTTGTTCTTAAATGCGTCGAAATACCGATTATTTAATACCGATGTTCAGACATCGCTTGGTTGTTTAACCACTTGCGCTACGATTTAACTTCCGGTTGCCGTGCCGCGTTCTACAATATAACATGTGGTAAGGCGTTACATTCACGTGGTATACACGTAGCTGACGGCTTTGGAATAAAAGCATCTCGATGTGCGTGGCACGTCTTTATAGCGCAAGTGGTTAACACTAGGTTTACGGACGTTATCTGTATACCTATTCCTATGGACATCTGTCAAATTGACAGGTAAAGGAAACCACGTGCCTTTTCCTTTAACGATTAGTTTAATTTAAAAACAATTGTATATTACATTAACCGTCTTAATATAAGTTAACTAAATCTGTTACCATCGTATAATTGGAACAACCCTTCCGTCGAATTGACAGGTTCCGTAAATCTAGTGTTAATATTACAAACCGTGCACAGTGATTTGCAAAAATATTGTTAGACAGTGTGGACTAAATGTAGAGATCAAAAATGTAGGTGATGAGCATTTTTGATCTTCTACAATGTAACTTGTTTCTTATATTTTTGAGACATATTGATTATACAGGGTGTCCCAGCAACGGTAGTACAACCAGGAAGGTAGTGATTCGAAGCTTTGTGTTCGAGAAAATCGATTTTGAATATTCGCCGAGTGTGCATGCACTTAGCTAAGGCTTGTGAGAATAGACCATCGATACACGAGTATTTTTTAGCTATGACTAAGAGGAATAATTCATTAATACATCAGCATAGGTGGTACAAACAGGGAGGGGTTGATTCTACGTGAAAAAACAAATCGGGAATAAAGAATAAAATTTTTTCATTCGAAGTTTCGTTGTCGAGAAAATCAACTTTGAATATTCACTGAGTACGCGTGCACTTAACTTTGGCTTAATACGCTAAACTACCGATGGTCCGTCCGCCATAGCCAGTTAAATGCACGCGCACTCGGTGAACATTCAAAGTCGATTTTCTCGACAACGAAGCTTCGAATGAAAAAGTTTTATTCTTTATTTTCGATTTGTTTTTTCACGTAGAATCATCCCCCATCGATTGTGCACCGATATTCGCGTATCCATGGTCTACTCTTATACTCCATAGCTATGTGCACGTGCACTCGGTGAACATTCAAAGTCGATTTTCTCGACAAGGAAACTTCGAATGAAAGAATTGTATTCTTTATTTTCGATTTGTCCTTTAGAATCATTGTTCGTAGAATCACCCTCTCTCCAGTTGTACTATCGTTATTCCGACACCCTGTATCTGCTTCTTCTCTCATTATTCTTTTCATTTTCTTTGACATTCGTGAATACTTTGTTTTAAACGTAAGCATATTTATAATGTGTTATGTTTGTTAGGCAGACGTATCCACTTCGACGCGACTCATTTTCATTTTTCACATGGTCGGTAGCTTCATGCACTTAATTTTCTTCACGTACATTTGCAACGGGTTGATAGAGGAAAGTACGAATATTAGCATAGCGACGTATTCCGGCTGGTGGACAATTTTGCCAATGACTGAAGCCGGCAGGATGCTACGAAAGGATGTGAGGACTATAATTATGAAGTCGATGAGGCCGTGTTACATGTCTGCTGGAGGATTCTTTCCTGTGTCCTTGCAAACCTCTACTGCTGTATGCAACTCGTTTTATGCTTAATTCTTACTGGTTTGCAAATTATTTAATGTTAATATATAATATTGCAATGATTCTGATTCTTTTTTGAAAATATTTCTATTCTGTATATAGTATAACAGGTATTTACCAATAGTATTGATGAAAAAATTATTCTATTTCGTTTGTATTAGTTTCATTAATCTTTATTTATTAATTTAATTAGTATTATTAATTTATAAATAATAGATATTTTATATTTATTATTATTGTTGTTGCATTTTCAATTTCAACCATTAGTTATTTGAAAAAGATTATAGGTGCATTATAACAAAAATTTGCTTCATAGTTGATCAAATTTCGTAGAACAACTTGGAAAAATAATGAAATCTTTTTGTGTTACAGCTCATAAGTTCCACAATGTCATATTTCACTCTCATGAGGCAATCGTCCATGAAGGTAACGGACGAATAATTGGCTATGCGTATGTACATGGATTTATGTAAGAGAAATATTTTAATATCTGTAGAACGAACTTTAGTGCTTGTATTTAGAGAACTAGCAAAATAAAACTGATTAAAAAATTATATGGGCCGGTAATTAATACTCGATACAACTGATCTTTTAATTAGCGTAAAATTAATCGCTTACGTCGAACTAATATGCCAGCTGATACACGAAAAACTGTCGATCTTTTGCTTTATATTTTCTTTGCTACATGTTATCAATCGCAAATTAATATTTATATTTTCTTAACTACAAATTTGTACCTTCTTCATTAATTTTACTCCTCAAAACAATACATAGAAGATACTCGTATCAGTAATTTCAATTAAAAGCTAATGATTTCAAGATCATGTATCTCTGCTACAGGCACACAAAACAATTATACAAAAATATTACAATATTCATTTTTCCATCCAGTTCAACAAATAATGCCTAGAATTTTATTCGCCAATTAAACATCGACCAATCGATAAAACAGTTTCCTTACCTAACCACCAAAATGGATTTACTTTATCACTAATCGAATAATTTCCTTCTATTCAGTTCGAAGAAGAAGTCAAAACTTTTCACACAACCTAATTTCTCATACATCGAACTCTAACGATACCACGTATTACAAAACCAATTCTCATTTGTATATAAGATACACAACCCTTCAAACTGCAATGGTATAACCTTCCCACATTGAACGTAAATGAGTCAGATGAACCGAGGTACACCACACGCCTTTTATTGTTCGAAATAAATAAAAATAACGGAATGCCAGTCGACAAAATATCACATTAGTTACACATTCCTTCTGTCGTTACACACGCGCTCCTGTTCTCTCTCCTCAGACCATAAATATTTAATTTCCAATTTCGTTGCGGAACTCTACCATCCGAGGCGAGGAAACGTAGAAAGTAAAAACGTAATCTGTAATTACCGGTTGAGCAGATTGATGGGTAGGAATGTGATCAAAGAGACGTGTCTGACACGTCATTATAAATCAATCGGATATATTTGTCACGAAACCATGAAGGCCTTTCTTCGTTTATTCGACGTTCACTATGCGTTCGACACAGGATAAAGACATCTCGATAATTTGGACGAGCTTCTTGATGAAAGTCGTAGGTCTTTGGTTGGCAGCTGATCGAAATGAACAATTTCGCAGAGACTTCGCGTTGATATACACAGTCAGCGCGCTCTTCATTAGTGTGTGTATGGCATGCAGAGACATCTATTATACTTGGGGAAACCTTAGGGTAAGTACTGTGGAATGGATGCTGGGCTCCATCTAGTATTTACTTTTCATCTATCTTCAACAATTCTTCTATTATGAAGGAAATATTGTTATGCATGAATTACAAATTTTTGTCGGATTTTAACCGTTTATAATTTAAATTTGATTCAAATTCTTATTTTTAACGGAAGAGATAACAATTAAAAGCAGTTCTTTATTTTAATCTTGAATCTAGGAATTAATATCTTACGTGGAAGCTGTTTGCTTCGGGTGTAATGATACGTCGATAAAGTAGAAGGACATACTTATCAAGAGATAAAATAAAATTAAAAATAAAATTAAAAATCTCTAAATTTTTAATTAAAAATTAAAAGATTGATGCTATATTGCTTCGTGTGAAATTACTAACTTTATCTTGTCCTTTTATTTATCAATATGCTTACTTACAAAATTTGTCAAATAAATTAGTTATACTAACATTTATTTCTGATTCTTCTTACTCGCAACTTTATGATTTCAGGAGTGTGTTTTTATCGTTTGCAATATTTTATACGTGGCGATGGTTCTGTTAAAAATCGGCATTTTGTACTCGCATAAAATGGAATTCTTTAAGTTGGTTACATTCACACAGCAGAACTTCTGGCGTCCGCATCAGGATCCGCAAGAAATGATAATTTTAACCGGGTGTAAGAAGGTATGCACCGTCACCATTATTATTATCAGCTTCTGCTGTCAAGGCAGTTGTGCAGGATATCTGATATCTCCACTTATAGGTATGTCGAGTTCAAGAAAAAATATTATTGCTTATTTTAATATTTTCACCAACTCCTTAAATTTCAAAAATTAAAGTTTACATAATAGTCCAATATATCGCTTTATTTTATCAAGAAAAAGAATGTAATTATTATTAAATAAATAAAATAAATTATCGTTTTCAGCAATATCGATTGTTATATAGTGGCAATTGTTAATTATATTAATCATGCATAAATTATTCTATACAATCGTGTTTATTATATATTTCGTACTATTTGTTTTTATATTTATACATTTATTTTTGTACTCGTTACGTGTATATTTTTATATTTATTTTTATTTGTCAGGAAATATGGGGAAAAATGAATCTGATAGAGCATTGCCATTCAACCTGTGGGTAGACTTTCCTGTATCACTCTCTCCTTACTTTGAAATACTTTTTACTATACAGGTACGAAGACTTTTTTATAGTTCATATCCTTTTTTTACAGTTTTATTAACGATTAAAATTCACTGAGTTATCGAATTAATTATAAACTAATAATTATGTTAATTGTAAATTAAGTCATGTTTATTTTATTAAGATCATGTTTCTTTCGAATGATATCTTTTTACGATTGCATATTTAAATACATTACTTCCTCTATAACAATAACAAAAATGAATTGTATGAAGAATAAAAGTTATTGGAAAAGATTTTTATCTGTACAGATACTTTGCGTGTACCACGTCGGTATATGTTACATTTGTTTCGACAATTTCTTGTGCATCGTGAATTTCCACGTTGCTAGTCAGTTTCGTATATTACAATACAGATTGAAGAATTTGCATAACGTGATTAAGGTACAGTTAAACGATCAAGAATCGGACACAAAAGTATCTCGTTACGCGAACGCCTGCTACATCAAATTGAAGAATTGCGTGCAACTCCATCAAATGCTCACCGAATATTGCTTAAAATTGGAGAATATATTCACTATAATCGTTCTTGGCCACGTAATGTTCCTTGCCATTGTAATATGCCTCCTGGGATTTCAGCTCTTTCTGGTTCGTATTTAATGTATTTTAAATGGTATATTTACTTTTACCTCGTAATAAAATAGAATTATTCATTTATTGAATAAAATGAAATTGAATTAAGAACGACCATTACTTTCATTTGTGTTACTCGAACAATGCTATCAAATATATGTTAAGAACCGACATAATTTAATAGACTACAGTTAAAATTAATTCCTTCTAATTTAATTTAATTTAATTCTACAATTAAAATTATAAAACTCAAGGAGGTTATTCTACGCGCAAAAATAAGTTGGAAATATAGAATAAAATTTTTTCGCTTAAGGCTTTGTTGCAGAGGAAATCGAATTTGATGTTGCAGTCATACGCACTCCGTCGGTAGCCATATTGAATGTGCTCAATCGCGAGTCAGCGGAGTGGGCATGTACCAATCAAACTCGATTTCCTCGAAAACGAAGCTTCAAACGATAAAATTGTATTGATTCTTTTCGACTTGTTTTTGCTTGTACAATAATATCCTACCAATTTTATATTCTATTTTAATATATCCCATTAGTTATGAACAAAATTCTCTGTTCATTTTGCATATTTTCAATAATAAATAGATTTATCCCCCAAAATTGATCGATTAGTTTTATAATTTACCAATTTTTTGACGATTACATAGGCAGACACACCTCCTTCGAAGAAAGTCAGTCTAGTACTCAACTTGGGTGGCACCTTTTTCCAATTTTTAATGTTCACGTATAGCTGTGACAATTTGATACGACAAAGTGTCGATGTTGGAAATGCAGTATTCTCAGGTCCATGGGCAAATCTGCCAATGGATAAAGTCGGTACCGTTGTACGCAAAAATCTGATTATCGTTATCATGAGATCGCACAGGGTTTGCAGTTTAACAGCTGGAGGATTTTTCCCTATTTCTCTGGAAACTTACACTGCGGTAATTAATTTAATTATATCCCTACGATATCATAATAATATTTTCATTGTAAATGTAGATGCATATTCCGATAATTATGAAAGTTACTTAAGCCACATACATTTAGTTTCGAAATTTATTTAGAATTCCGAGACAAATATATTATTTGAATATTTTTCATTCGTGCAATTTTATTTCTAATTAATTTAATTTCGAAATCGAAATTTATTTTCCTAACCTTACTTAATTTATTTAAGTAAATTAGACTTAATTTATTTACAGGTACTCAGTACTGCAATGTCGTATTTCACCCTGCTGAAACGTTCTTCTGACGTAGAGGATACATAATGGAATTTTGCATGTATATGGTTATTGTTATAACGGAAATATGAGTAACGGAGTTCTTCCTGTTACTATTGCTTTGGTACTTGAATAAGATAGACTAATGACATATCTATTCTGAAGTTCCCTTTCTCAATGAGATTTTGCACGATGACAGTACTCAGATACCGAAGCTATTAGTACATATATTTAATTGACATTAAGGAGATACGGAGATTGTGAGACTGATTTGTATACGACACTGTGTTTAGTACGAATAAGTTTATACTTTTAAAATTATCGTATGGTCTATCCTTCATGTTACAAATTAGTTCTTTTCACAATTTCAACCGGTTTTCGAAATAATTTAAATACTAAATAATCACAGATTTATTTCTTTATATTAATAAGAAGAAACAGACAGTAAATAATTATAATATTGATTACACGTTGAGATACGAATAAGAACAAATGTACACGAATATATAATAGCATTTGAATGTTTGTCAAAGATATTACTAAATATTGCAAAACACAACGAGCTGCTGCTACAAAATATTTTCCTCGCAAATCAAATGATTATTTATAATATACAATAACCACTTATAATTTACACATTATACACATTATAATTATAATTTATTTTACGTGTATCATTTCATCTTACATGTTTATCTCATTCTAATTTTCTCATATGGGGACTACAGTGCCTGCAGGATCTTTCTATCACACTTAACAACATGACCATCCCTTCCATAATCCAATAATTTCAGCCTTTATCACAGGGCAGATTATTACATACACGAACCATTATTACAATAAAAATTATTATTAATCAATCATTAATTATCCCTGAATTATTATCAAATAATCACTCCAAATTTAACTCACGATATTTCTATGAATGCAATTAGATATTAACATATGCAAAACATTAACTCTCGTTTTCTTTTCATAAAATCTATAATTGATCATATTATTATACAAATAATCCACAATCAAATTCCACTCACCACTAAATTTTTCCTGTACACGTCCAATTCGATACAAATTACAAACGTGCTACATCTCATAGGTGAAAACATATACAGCCTTCGATAGTTAATTTACGAATAGCAATCTCAAGTTCCATTCCACTGTCCAAGAACAAGCTCATGATCGAATTGCAACGCACCACATCCATCCTGTATCTCGAGCAACGCAACTGTTCCCCTGGTAGACAAGCTTTGAACAAGTACCGTCACCTTGGAATCATGCATAATTCATCGATTCACATTTGTCCCCTTTCGTTTTCACGCTGTGGTACAGTAATCACGATGACGTGTGAAATGACCAGCTGTCCACAAAGTGGCATACGCGAAACGATGAGGACAGTTGAGCCAAGGATGACCAATGGATCAAAGCGACACGTATGCGACATAGACATTCTTTACACGGAGGAATCTGAGATCGGAGAAGTCTATCATTGTAGTCTTGTTATGAGCATGAGAAAAGTCAAGGATCTGTCAGTAAGCGTGGCAACTTTCTACATGAAATTCGTCGGTTATTGGATGGCGTCTAATTATGCCGAGAAACGTTGGAGGAACATCGCCATGGGCTATACGCTCTTCTCTATCTTGTTTGCCATGTCGAACGAGATGAGAGCTTTGTCCTTTAGTTGGGGAGATTTGAGTGTGAGTGAATCGTGATTATTGTGGTATTTATAGCAATGAACTGCGTGTAAAATGTCACGTGACTCGAAGAGGTATAGTCTTCAGAAGAAACCTATTTTTGGACGTTAACTCGACGTTATTTTGCTCCCATTTTGTTTAATATAATTAGTATGAAATTGGCAATCGTACATTTATTCACTTCTAGCATATGAGTATTGATTAGGACAATTTCTTTATTGTATCATCAGAGACTAATAGATGATCGATATTACAGTAATCTATGGTAGATGAAATGGATATTGATAATGACTAGTTAATTATAGTAATCTATCAGTAAAACGCATACGTATGGGCCAATTTCTTTGATAATTTATGTACTGACATATACGTTTTGTGTAACTAAAAATTATTTTAAAAATTGAGTGGATATTGAACTATTTCTGAATTACAGGATAGTACTTACATTTTGTGCAACATCATAACTATCACGCTAGTTATAGTGAAGCTCTTGGACTTGTTAATATACATTGAAGAGCTGCACGATATGATGAGTTACGCTAAAAAGAACTTTTGGCACTCAAATTATGATTCATATGAGCAGTGTATGGTGGATAATTGTAAACGTACTTGTACGCTGTTCGTTTGCATCTTCACTGTCCTTGCTCACTCAACAACTTTCAGTTATGCGATAGGACCACTCATGGGTGAGGTGTCTAGATAATCGATTAACTAAATGAATTGAAAACGTAATCAAATTACCAATTTTGAAGTAGCACTGATAGAAATCTGGATTTTAGATATCTGATGAACATTTCTGATAATTTATTTTTTCTTCTTTTTTTTCGAGGTACAGTATGCCTCGTATATATTGACATGTTGATTTGGATAAAATAAAATTGAATGAAAAAAATTGATAAATATAATAAAAACGAATATACAAACACGAATGTAAAAGAAATTTGAAGGAAAGACAGATTTAAGTACTCGTATTTATACAGTTACTTTACTATATATTAGATACTGTTCATAATTATAATTGCGTGCCAATTTAATTTTTCAGCAAACTATGGGAAGAATAAGACAGACAGGATACTTCCTTTTAATATGTGGCTCGAGTTGCCATTAAATGTAACACCGTATTTCGAAATAGTGTTTGTAATGCAGGTATGCATAACTTTGCAACGAACAGTTCCATACCGCAGATTTTAATGTAAAACAAAATTCAAATATAATTTTAAATGTCGCAAAAAAAAATTAAAGAAAATCATACCGAATTGAAATTATTACGAATTATCTTTACGTAGGTTGCGTTTTTGTTTCACGTTGGCGTATGCTACCATTGCTTCGACAATCTTTTATGCATTATAAATCTAAACATATCTGTTCAGTTTCGTATCCTGCAATACAGATTCGCAAATATGTGCAATGGTAGCGAGAAATGCAACGACACTGCAAATAAACCATCGTACACCACGAATAAGTACTTGAAGCTTAGAAATTACATACAACAGCATCAGGCGTTGATTAAATTTTGCAAAAGACTAGAGGATATATTCAGCTCAATTGTGCTTGGACAAGTGTTACTGTTCAGCATAATGATCTGCCTCGATGGATACTTGGTGCTCATGGTATGTACGATTTGCGTTATACATTTTCACTTCATTTTACTAATATTTCTTTATAGAATAGTTCCTTTCTTAATAACCATTTCTAATCATAATCACCGAGATACTTTTAATTCAATCCAACTTTCAAAAAAGAAAGAAAAGAAAAGAAAATACTAATTTTTCATATTTGTCATTACTTTTACCGATATTTCATTAATGCAATAAAATCAATTTTGCTTAATAATATTGCCTTTTTACGAAATATTAATTTCTTTCTAATACCTAATGACTTTTTATATTAACTTCAGTTCTACGAATGCAATGGCACCGATTTTGACATTATGCTCTATTTATTTTTAATTATTGTACAGGCGTCATAATGAAGCAATAATATTCTCTTTTTAAAAAATGTGAATTACTTTGTCGATAACAAAGAGTTGCTGATATTAGTTTTATTCCTTCTAATAACAATTCTTCGTGGTACTTTTCTTTTATGTGAAATAGTAGCGAAATTTGACAGTGGGAAATGACATTTTATTTATTTCCTTGTTAATTCAATTCAGCAGTGATTCGAATATTTTTGTATTGTACAGCGATAAGCATAATTAAATCTCTACAGGAAAGCGCTCCACGTTCGAGGCGTATTATTTTCGCGTTTAATGCTGAAAAATACATATAAGGATTTATGTGATTTATTGAATTAATTAAGTAGTATATAAACTGTACCGATCAATTTCATAAACTGTACAATAGAGGAAACTGACGGTATAAATATTATATTTTCTAAACTTGTCTAAGAATATAGTTTGATATTATTTGCTAATCTCATATTGTTTATTATCTGCTCTCATTTTCTTCCTTTAAATTACGTTTGGGATAGATAGATCAATGGTGATAGAAATTATTTGCACTTAACCGGTTCACGGAATACACAATAAATATGGCAGAAGAATTTAATAATTTGTTAAAAGTTTTATAGTTAAAATAAGGATATAAATGTCATGACGAAGGTTTGGATTATTCGTTTTCTCTTTACAGATTTTGAGTACAGCGGTATCGTACTTCACATTGTTGACGAACACTACTGGGAATGCGCAACTGAAGTGAAACTAACAATTTCAATTTGTAGAAAAATTGATGAATTTTAAGAGAAGTGTAGTTTTAGATGTCATTTGTACCTCCGCCTATTAAAAAAAGTAGATAAAAAGAAATATTTTTATTTAAAAGCCTAAGTATATATACATATATTAATGTATACAGTAGCAAGAAAGTAAACTTATCAAAATTTCTTTACTCTCTCAGCTTCGAAGATTCACTTACTCATTGTACAAATTACCAACAAGTTAATTAAAATGATTACTCCCTACTAAGTGAAAACAAATCATACAATACTTTGCATTATTAACAAATGACACAAACGTAATTAATGACCCTAACTTTGAATAACATATGCAACTTGAATAATATTGCTTATTTACCTGAAGAATATATAGTTTCAAAAAACTGCCATTCGTCTAGGTTTACGACCCCCCAGGTATGGCGAATCTTCGTTACAATTAACTTAATCGTGACTAAATTTCCACGCAAAACATGACAGAAGTCACGCATCAATTTTTCACCCATAGTCCATGCAACATACACATGCGAAACATACCTTTCTTTTCATTCCCTTTTGTATTTCATTATATTCTTAAACAATTATTCCAGAATCTAATTCCACTAACCTCGAAATTTTCTCTTCATATTTCCAATTCGGTACAAATTACAAGTATGCTTCACCCTGTGCGCGATACCGATGAAACAACAGGTAAGAAAACATATGCAATCTGCACTAGACAATTTACGAATGGTAATCTCAATTCCCTTTCTCTTGTCCAAGAACAACAAGCTCGTGGTCGGACTTCGATACACTTCATCCTGCTTGAACCTCGAGCTATGCAACTGCTACACGGTTGGACGAGTTCTGAACAACTATTGTCACCTTGGAATCATGCATAATTGATCGATACGAGACATTTTCCCTTTCTCCGTTTCACTCTGTAGAACAGCAATTACGATGACGTTTGAAATGACCAGCTGTCCGCAATATGGCATACGCGAAACAATAAGAACTGTCGGGGCAAAGATAACCAAAGGATCAAAGGGATATGTATACGACACAGACATCCTTGGAATGGTGGAATCGGAGGACGGAGAAATTTATCGTTGAAGTCTCGGTATGAACTCGAAGAGAGACAGGGATCTGTCGGTCAGCATTTCGACGTTCTACCTGAAAATCGTCGGTTATTGGCTGGCGTCTAATTATGACGAGAAACGTTGGAGGAACATCTCCATATGTTATACGCTCCTCTGTGTCATGTGCGCCATGACCATCGAAGCGAGGGCTTTGTACTTCAACTGGGGAGATTTGAATGTTAGTGAGTTTTAGTGCTTTTTGTAATGTAATATTGAGATGAGTGAACGACACCTACGCCTAAAATGTGACTTGACATAAGAAAGTATAGGTTTGGGAAGAGGTGGAATAGTGTTTTCTGACATTAGCTAGAATCATTTCGTCTTTTCCTGATTTATTTATGATGAATACATGAAATTGGATATGGTACACTTTTCATCTTCAAACTCGTGTGTATTGATTTTAACAATTCTTTTGTTGCATCCTATTAGAGAAATTCTTAATCAGTAGGACAGTGAACTATAATAGACGGGATAGATATTAACACTGTATAGTAAAGGAGAACAATCTTTTACGAAATCTATAGTAATTCTATTAATTATTTAGAATCATCTATCTAATAATATATGTAGGATGGCGAAAACTGGTTTTGAGACACCAAAAACTGTCAGAACAACAGGAACAGAATAACATAAACACAAAACTCATAAAACTAATTTAACTTAGGAAAAGAATCCCATGATAACGCTACGAAAACACACAAAGACGCACTCTAATTTAACTCTCCTTCCAACACCGAGCAACTCACATTCGTGCCGGTCGCAATTAATTTCTAAGGACTCTGTTTTGGTCGTCAAGGACCCTGCTTTCATGCTTCACCTCCCCGTAGGGACCACGCAATTTAATTTTGTTACCCAAAATAACATTTCAATGTGCTTCTAGAAAATATTGATTCGTTTATAATCTGTTTTTGTTGGCAATGGCCGAATCGCGATTTATTCACGTAATGGTATCCTACATATACTTCTATGTATAGCAATTTCTTTAGTGACCTATATATTATAGAAGAGTATAAGTTTTGAATAACTGAGAAATATTTAAAGAGTAACCTTGCTACTTTTGTCATGCAGGATAACATGTTCACCATATGCAACATCATAACTATCACTCTAGTTATAGTGAAGCTTTTGGATTTGTTAATATACATCGACGAGCTGCACGATATGATGAGTTACGCTAAAAAGTACTTTTGGCAAGCAAATTATGACTCACACGAGCAAAGTATGGTGGATAATTGTAAACGTACTTGTACGCTGCTCGTTTGCATATTCACTGTCTTTACTCACTCAACAACTTTCAGTTATGTGATAGGACCACTCATGGGTGAGGTGTCTAGATAATCGATTAACTAAATAAATTGAAAACGTTATCAAAGTACCAATTTTGAAGTAGCACTGATGGAAATCTGGATTTTAGATATCTGATGAACATTTCTCATAATTTATTTTTTCTTTTCTTTTTTTCGAGGTACAGTATGCGGACGAATTGTCATGTTGATTTGGATATAATAAAATTGAATAAAAATATGTGATAAATATAATAAGAATGAATACACAAACACGAATGTAAGAGAAATTTGAAGGAAAGACAGATTTAAGTACTTGTATTTATACAGTTACTTTACTATATATTAGATACTGTTCATAATTATAATTGCGTGCCAATTTAATTTTTCAGCAAACTATGGGAAGAATAAGACAGGCAGGATACTTCCTTTTAATATGTGGCTCGAGTTGCCATTAAATGTAACGCCGTATTTCGAAATAGTGTTTGCAATACAGGTATCCATAACTTTGCTACGAACAGTTCCATATCGCAGATTTTAATGTAAAACAAAATTCAAATATAATTTTAAATATCGCAAAAAAAATTAAAGAAAATCATTTCCCATTGAAATTATTACGAATTATCTTTTCGTAGGTTGCGCTTTTGTTTCACGTTGGCGTATGCTACCATTGCTTTGACAATCTTTTTTGCATTATAAATCTACACATATCTCTTCACTTTCGTATCCTGCAATACAGATTCGCAAATATGTGCAATGGTAGCGAGAAATGCATCGAAACTGCAAATAAACCATCGTACACCACGAATAAATACATGAAGCTAAGAAATTACATACAACAGCATCAGGCGTTGATTAAATTTTGCAAAAGACTAGAGGATGTATTCAGCTCAATTGTGCTTGGACAAGTGTTACTGTTCAGCTTAATAATCTGCCTCGATGGATACTTGGTGCTCATGGTATGTACGATTTGCGTTATACTTTTTCACTTCATTTTACTAATATTTCTTTATAGAATAGTTCCTTTCTTAATAACCATTTCTAATCATAATCACCGAGATACTTTTAATTCAATCCAACTTTCAAAAAAGAAAGAAAAGAAAAGAAAATACTAATTTTTCATATTTGTCACTACTTTTACCGATATTTCATTAATGCAATAAAATCAATTTTGCTTAATAATATTGTCTTTTTACGAAATATTAATTTCTTTCTAATACCTAATGACTTTTTATATTAACTTCAATTCTACGAATGCAATGGCACCGATTTTATCATTATGCTCTATTTATTTTTAATTATTGTACAGGCGTCATAATGAAGCAATAATTTTCTCTGTTTAAAAAATGTGAATTTCTTTGTCGATAACAAAGAGTTGCTGATATTAGTTTTATTCCTTCTAATAACAATTCTTCGTGGTACTTTTCTTTTATCTGAAATAGTAGCGAAATTTGACAGTGGGAAATGACATTTTATTTATTTCCTTGTTAATTCAATTCAGCAGTGATTCGAATATTTTTGTATTGTACAGCGATAAGCATAATTAAATCTCTACAGGAAAGCGCTCCACGTTCGAGGCGTATTATTTTCGCGTTTCACATATCCAGCTGCATGTACCAATTGCTAATGTTCACCTACAATTGCGATTGTTTGATAAGAGACAGTAAGGACGTGGCCACCGCTGTGTATACAAGCGCGTGGTCGCTGTTACCAATGGACAAGTATGGAAGAATGTTAAGAAGGGACTTGACACTCGTGGTTATGAGATCTCAAAAACCTTGCCGTTTGACAGCAAATGGATTCTTTGTTGTGTCTTTAGAAACGTATACTAATGTAAGTTATTCTACATTTCATAATTTGGTTATTATATTCTACTTTTCTGAATAGATACAAGAATCACGTGTACTCATATTTTTGTTAACCCTCTTTTATTAACCCCTTGCATTCGGCGAATTTATCATTACAGAAAAATAGTAATTTGAAGACTTTTTGCCATAAAGTTAACGATATTTTTGAAACGATGAATAGGAAATCGTATGTAAATTAAGACGTAGAATTATTTTACTTCGTCATTCCGCACATCGTTGGGTAATTTCAAATTTGACATATTAAGTAACATCGATCTTTAAGTTGTGATTAAATGGCGACTGAGGATCGCCTCTCGAGTGCAAAAGGTTAATGCTGAAAAATACATATAAGGATTTATGTGATTTATTGAATTAATTAAGTAGTATATAAACTGTACCGATCAATTTCATAAACTGTACAATAGAGGAAACTGACGGTATAAATATTATATTTTCTAAACTTGTCTAAGAATATAGTTTGATATTATTTGCTAATCTCATATTGTTTATTATCTGCTCTCATTTTCTTCCTTTAAATTACGTTTGGGATAGATAGATCAATGGTGATAGAAATTATTTGCACTTAACCGGTTCACGGAATACACAATAAATATGGCAGAAGAATTTAATAATTTGTTAAAAGTTTTATAGTTAAAATAAGGATATAAATGTCATGACGAAGGTTTGGATTATTCGTTTTCTCTTTACAGATTTTGAGTACAGCGGTATCGTACTTCACATTGTTGACGAACACTACTGGGAATGCGCAACTGAAGTGAAACTAACAATTTCAATTTGTAGAAAAATTGATGAATTTTAAGAGAAGTGTAGTTTTAGATGTCATTTGTACCTCCGCCTATTAAAAAAAGTAGATAAAAAGAAATATTTTTATTTAAAAGCCTAAGTATATATACATATATTAATGTATACAGTAGCAAGAAAGTAAACTTATCAAAATTTCTTTACTCTCTCAGCTTCGAAGATTCACTTACTCATTGTACAAATTACCAACAAGTTAATTAAAATGATTACTCCCTACTAAGTGAAAACAAATCATACAATACTTTGCATTATTAACAAATGACACAAACGTAATTAATGACCCTAACTTTGAATAACATATGCAACTTGAATAATATTGCTTATTTACCTGAAGAATATATAGTTTCAAAAAACTGCCATTCGTCTAGGTTTACGACCCCCCAGGTATGGCGAATCTTCGTTACAATTAACTTAATCGTGACTAAATTTCCACGCAAAACATGACAGAAGTCACGCATCAATTTTTCACCCATAGTCCATGCAACATACACATGCGAAACATACCTTTCTTTTCATTCCCTTTTGTATTTCATTATATTCTTAAACAATTATTCCAGAATCTAATTCCACTAACCTCGAAATTTTCTCTTCATATTTCCAATTCGGTACAAATTACAAGTATGCTTCACCCTGTGCGCGATACCGATGAAACAACAGGTAAGAAAACATATGCAATCTGCACTAGACAATTTACGAATGATAATCTCAATTCCCTTTCTCTTGTCCAAGAACAACAAGCTCGTGGTCGGACTTCGATGCACTTCATCCTTCTTGAACCTCGAGCTATGCAACTGCTACACGGTTGGACGAGTTCTGAACAACTATTGTCACCTTAGAATCATGCATAATTGATCGATACGAGTCATTTTCCCTTTCTCCGTTTCACTCTGTAGAACAGCAATTACGATGACGTTTGAAATGACCAGCTGTCCGCAATGTGACATACGCGAAACAATAAGAACTGTCGGGGCAAAGATGACCAAAGGATCAAAGGGATATGTATACGACACAAACACCCTTGGAATGGTGGAATCGGAGAACGGAGAAATTTATCGTTGAAATCTCGGTATGAACTCGAAGAGAGACAGGGATCTGTCGGTCAGCGTGACGACTTTCTACATGAAATTCGTCGGTTTTTGGCTGGCGTCTAATTACGCCGAGAAACGTTGGAGGAACATCGCCATAAGCTATACGCTCTTCACTATCCTGTTCTCCATATCGAACGAGACGAGATCTTTGTACTTCAGTTGGGGAAATTTGAATGTTAGTGAATTTTAGTGCTTTTTGTAATATAATATTGAGATTAGTGAACGACACCTACGCTTAAAATGTGACGTGACATAAGAAGGTATAGGTTTCGGAAGAGGTGGAATAGTGTTTTTGGATATTAACCCTTTGCACTCAACGATTTTTTGACTAAAGAAAGGTCGGAGTCCGAAAATTTTCTGTTATAAAGCTGATGACACTTTTTTGAGCAGTAAATAAGAAATAGTATAATAATTGACACGTAGAATTATTTGATTTCGACACCTCGCACACCGTTACATTATCTTAAATTTGACATATTAATTAATATCTATCTTTAAAATTTTATAAATTGGCGACTGAAGGGCGCCTCTCGAGTGCAACGGGTTAACTAGAATCATTTCGTCTCTTGCTGATGTATTTATGATGAATACATGGAATTAGAAATGGTACACTTTTCGTTTTCAAACCCATGTGTATTGATTTCGTCAGTTCTTGTGTTTCATCCCATTAGCAAAATAGTTAATCAATACAACAATCAACTATAAGAGACAGAGTTGATATTGACAAGTGCAATGGTTTACGTAATCTACAGCAATTTTATTAATTGTTTAGAATAATATTTGTAACAGTAACGTCTATATATAGCAATTTCTTTAATAACCTATATATTAATAAAACTCATTAGTAATATATGAGCCGTTCACTGCACAAATCGATTAACTCCACTTTTTGAAAAATCTTAAGTATAGAAAGTTTCGACTATACCAAGTGCTTTGTCACATAAATTTAAGATTTATCAAAAATTGGAGTTAATCGATTTGTGCAGCGAACGGGTCATATAGTGATCTATATTAATATATATTTTGTAATTTTTGTTGATTTTCAAACTTTTGTCACAGTTTTGTATAACTAATAATTATTTAAAAAGTGGCCTCACTATTGTACGATTTTTGTATTACAGGATAGTATGTTCACCATTTGCAACGTCGTAACTATCGCTCTAGTTATAGTGAAGCTGATGGCCTTGTTGGTATATATGGAGGAGGTGCACGATCTGATCAGTTACGCGAAGAAGAATTTTTGGCATGCAAATTATGACTCATACGAGCAGAGTATCGTGGATAATTGTAAAAATACCTGTACACTGTTCGTTTGCACCTTCACGTTCTTTGCTCAGGGAACAACGTTGACTTATGCGATAGATCCATTTCTAGGTGAGGTGTCTATATAATCGATTTACGAAATGAATGAGGAAAGTTGTCGAAATACGAATATTATAAATAGAAACGAAGGAAATCTGGATTTTAGGCCAATGGTGAATATTTCTAATAATTTATTTTTTCTTCTTTTTTTTCCGAGGTATGATGTGTGGACGTTTCAACACATTGTCACGTTGATTTGGATAGAATAGAATTAAATATAAAAAATTAATACGCGCAACGTGGATATAAAAGAAATTTAATGGAAAGACTGTTTTAAGTAATTGTTCTTATATAGTTATTTATATTGGCAGTCATTCATAATTAAAATTGAATGAAAATTTGAAAAGAAAAATATATATTGATATCATTTCTCAGAAAACCGTGGGAAAAATGACACTGACAGGGTACTTCCTTTTAATATGTGGCTCGAGTTGCCATTAAGTGTAACACCGTATTTCGAAATAATGTTTACAATACAGGTATGCATGATTTTGTGCGTTAAACATTGAACAACGTGTTTAAATATCATTACAGAAAATCAAAAGTATCAGCTTTGAACTTTTTCGATTTTTATTTAAATTGCTTGAGAATTTTATTTAATTTTATTGCAATAAAATACTCCACTTCTATTGTGATCTCGAATCAAAAATTAAATTTGAAAGATATTTTCGTTTATATTGTACTTATCCTTCCGTCAACTGATATTTACAATTTATAGTTTACTTTTATTTATTTCGCAATAATCCTCATTTCGTTGGAAGCGATATAATATAAAATATTAAAAAATTTGGTAGGCATAATTATTTCTAATTGCTATTGAACTATGTTTAGTTTGATTAATTCATAATGATAGCAATAATAAACAATTTATAATTATTATAGATATATTAATGTTTGTCAATTCTTGTTAATGTTTCAAACGTCACTTCGAAATCTACATAGAATTATACATTGCATATTAAAATTTTATACAATAAATATTACATTCAAATTTCATAGAATTCTTCTATTTCGTCAAATAATTCCGTGCTTCTCTTTTTTGTGCAAAACGAAGTTCAAATATAATTCTAAATGTGGTTAAAATATTGGAGAAAATCATACGTAATAGAAATTACTACGAATTATCTTTACGTAGGTTGCACTTTTGTTTCACGTTGGTGTATGCTATCATTGCTTCGACAATCTTTTATGCATTATAAATCTACACACATCTGTTCAGTTTCGGATCTTGCAATACAGACTGGCGAATATCTGTAATGATAACGAGAAATGCAAAGAAGCTTCAGAGAAACCACGATGTACCGCGAATAATTATATGAAACTTAAAAATTACATACAACAACACCAAGGGTTAATTGAATTTTGCAAAAGACTCGAGTGTATATTCCGTTCAATTGTGCTTGGACAGGTGTTACTATTCAGCATCTTAATCTGCCTCGATGGATACTTGGTACTTATGGTATGTACTACTTGCATTTTATGCTTCCATTTTTATTGCTATTGCATATTATTCTTTTATTAAAAGTCCCTTCCTTAACACGTTGACTGCCAACTACGAGATATCTCGTAGGTTGTTTACTTGCCCAGGACGCCTGCTACGAGCTATCTCGTCTCTTCGTTACTTGCCATATTTGTACAGCTACGAGGAAACCCATAGTATAACAGTGTAAATATGAATAGATGGGATCAGGAAAGAGAAGAAGAAATCAAGTTTGTCTTATTGTAAAAATTGTAAAATATTAACGACAAACTTGATTATTGCTGTGTACTGTAAATAAAGTTTTTAATAATATAACATGATTAAATGAAATTGGCTGCTTAGACCGGAATCGTGACAAATTGCGTGGCAGTCAACGTGTTAATAAACAATTCTAATCATATTCACTTATTAATTCAAACTTCAATATAATTGTCAACAAAAATACTTCTCTTCCCTTTTATTAATACTATTATTGATAATTCTTAAATATTGAAAATTTGTTTTGTCTGATATAACATCCCTATGAAGAAATATTAAAATCTTTTTTATTCCTTATTATTAATTTCCTTATTACTCATTTCCTTTTATTAATACTATTATTGATAATTCTTAAATATTGAAAATTAGCTTTGCCTGATATGTCATCCTTATTAAGAAATATTAATTTCTCTTTTATTCCTTATTATTAATTTCCTTATTACTCATTCCCTTTTAATAATACTATTATTGATCATTCTTAAATATTGAAAATTAGCTTTGCTTGATATGACATCCTTATTAAGAATTATTAATTTCAATTTTATTCCTTATTATTAATTTCCTTATTATTCACTGATTCTTTAAGCTAACTTATGTCGTTTCTATCAATACAATGGTAATTATTTCGATTTTACATTTTATTTACTTTTATATTATTATGCAGACATTATTAATTCTCTTTCTAAAAAATATGATTATCTTTGTTAATAATAAAGGGCTGCTCAAATTAATTTTTATTCTTCTAATAACCATAACCCACACTTCTTTTTTCTCTTTGGAAAATGATGCAGAAACATTTTAACCCTTTACACTCGAGAGGCGGCCTTCGTCGTTAGATAAAATTTCGAAGTTCGATATTAATTAATACATCAAACTTAAGATAATGTAACAGTCTATTAGCTATCGAAATCAAATAATTATACGTGTTAATTATCATATGATTTCTTATTTATTGCTGAAAGAAATATCGCCAGCCTTATAGCAGAAAATCTTTGAACTCCTACTCATCTTTAGCCAAGAAATCGTCGAGTGCAAAGGGTTAATGGGAAATAATATTCTATTTACTTTCTTATTCGTTCAATTCATCGATGTTCCGAATATTTTACTCACATTTAACAATATCAATAATGTCTATAGGATAGCATTACACGTTCAAGACGCATTATTTTTGCATTTCACATATCCGGTTGCATGTGTCAATTGCTAATGTTCACCTATAGTTGCGACTGTTTGATAAGGGACAGTATGAACGTGGCCCACGCCGTGTATAATAGCGAGTGGTCCCTATTGCCAATGGACAAGTATGGAAAAATGTTAAGAAGAGACTTGATACTCGTTGCCATGAGATCTCAGACACCGTGTCGTTTAACTGCTAATGGCTTCTTTGTTGTGTCTTTGGAAACATATACTAACGTAAGTTATGCTACTTTTCATAATTTAATTATCACATACTTCTATTAATATCGAAGATATTTTTAATAATATCAAAAAATCCGTATAAAGATTTAATCGATTTATTCAATTAATTATATAGTATACAAACTATACTGATCAATTTCGTAAATTGAATGCAAGAAAAAAGTAACGGTATGAATATCAATGTTTTAAAAATTTTTCTTAGAATATTGTGTGATTTCTTTTGTTAATTTACTATTATTTGTTATCTCCTATTATTTCGTTACTTTTATTTACTTTTGTGATAAATGCACCTATTGAAATTGAGATTATTTGTAACTAATAATGTTCGTGAAGTACATAATTAATATGGCACAGGAATTTAGTTATTTTAAATTGATTTTCTAAAAAGGAAAGGGTATAAAACACATGAAGAAAATTTGAAATGTTCATTTCTCCTTTACAGATTCTGAGTACCGCGGTATCATACTTTACATTGTTGAGGAACAGCACAGAGGATACGTAGATCGAGCCTAACTATCATTACCAGTGTTTGGATGAAATGATGAATCTTCAGAGAAATATATTTTCTTTTAAATGACTGTTATTCAATTTCCCTATTAAAAAAAGGAAATAAAAGTATAAAGACTTTCTTATTAACCAATCCATGTACATATACACACATATCTGGTCATTTACACTAGCAGACAAAATTAGCTCATTGAAGATACTTTATTCTCTCATATTCGATAATTCACAAATCCATTACACAATATATCAGAAATTACCAGGAACTAAAGTAGGAATATTCCTTACTATTATTTTTACTATATTCCATGGTATTGTAGCGACCATCATTCTCACCTTCGCCACTGGATGGATTCCGCCTTCAAGAACTTTGCCGCAAGTCCTCGGGAAACTCCCAGTCACTTATATATATAACTTCCCGTCTTTCCTATAGTATCCCCAGTGTCTAAGGCAAGGGCCTGCTAAGCAAGCCTTACCAATGAGTCCGCTAGCAGGCCCGCGACGAAACGCATCCCTTCCTTTTCCTACCGTCCCTTCTAGATACACCAACCACGGGGATACCTGCCACAGCGACTTCGAACGATGGTGGGGGAGGACCCCCACAGTATTATCAATAATTAGCGCAGAATTTAATTCCGCTCAGTTCTAGATTTTGCCTTCATAGTTCCAATTAGGTTCAAATTGCAGATATGCTTCAGCATATAGACGACACTGATGAAGCAAGAGGTAAGAAAACATATACAATCTACACTAGATAATTTAGGAATTGTAATCTCAAGACCCATTCCCTTCTCCAGGAACATCAAACACGTGGTCGAACTGTAATGCACTACTTGCATCTTATACTTCGAACAACGCAATTGTTTTACTGCTAGATATGTTCTGAACAACTACCGTCACCTTGCAATCGCGCATAATTCATCGATCCGACACATTTATCCTCTTACTACCACGTCGGGGAGCAGAAATTACCATGACGTTCGAAATGACTAGCTTTCCACAAAGTGCCATGAGCGAAACAATGACGACAGTTGGGTCGCAGATGATCAAAGGATCAAAGGTACATGTATACGACATAGACACCCTTGGTATAGATGAATCGGAGAACAGAAAATTTTATCATTGAAGTCTCGGTATGAATACGAAGAATGACAGGGATCTGTCCATCAGTGTGACTACTTTCTACATGAAATACGTCGGCTATTGGCTGGCGGCTAATTATGCCGAGAAACGTTGGAGCCACATCGCCATGTGCTATACGAACTTCATTATCCTGTTCTCCATGTGGACCGAGATCAGAGCTTTGTTCTTCTGCTGGGACGATTTGAATGTTAGTGAATTGTGGTGTTTTTCGTAATGTAATATTTAGATTAGTGAGTACCGCCGTTTAGGAAGTGACGCGACACGAAAAGGTGTAGTGTTTTTGGACGTTAATTAGATATCATTTCGACCCTGCTCGATTTATTTAGAATAAAGCAATGAAACTGAAAATGACACACCTCTCATCCTCAAACACACGTGTATTGATTTTGATAATCCTTTTATTGTATCGTCTTAGCGAAGTCCTTAATGAACATCACTGTAAACTATAGTACACGGGATAAATATTTATAATGTATAGTAAACGTGGGTAATCATTCAAGTAATCCAATTAGTAAACACTAAGTAGTAATTATATTAGTAAATATAATAATATATATATATTACTAATAGTAATTACTATTAGTATATTCCTAATAATAATAGTAATTATACTATTATATAT